GCCTCGTCGCCTCCGCGGCCTTCGCGGCGTCGCTCCCGCCCGACCGCCCCTTCGGGATCCCGCCCAACAGGCTGGACGCCCTGGTCGCGCTCTTCGAAGGCAGCGGGGACGGGCCGGGGCTAGGGTTTCGTGCGGACAGCGGGAAGAAGGAGGACGAAGGGAGGAAGGTGGAGATTGTGGAGAAGGAGACGCCTGGGCCTGGGGAGGTGACGCTGCAGGAGTGGATTGGGCCGTCGGGCGCCATTGAGGGCTATGTGCCCCGCCATCACCCCATTCATGAAGGTGATTGTTTCATGCTGAACTCTGTTATTTACTTTGACAGTGTTGTAGTCTAGATGTTTATTCTTGCATTTGATTATGTTGCCATTGGTTGACTGGAGGACACTAGGATTGTTGAGAATAGCTGAGGCATTTACTGTCATTGTGTGCTGGGAGTTTTATGTGGATTGATCTGAATAAGCTAGATATATTATCGTCTCAGGGTGCATAGAGTTCTGTCATTCTATGTGGATGTATGGCAAGCCATTGCAATTTTGGAATATACGGGTTATGTGATATTAGAATGTAGAATTAGCCTCCAACCAACTGAATACATGCAATCCTGGAAATATTTTCAAATTATGCTGTGTCTACAATAAAACGAAGTGAGAGCTTGTTGGTTATTACAACCATCAAGGCCTTTTTGTGGGACAGGTCGCTGGTCCAATGGGCCAAACCTACCCCGCAACCACCTTTATATAGGAATTTAGAGGAAGAGGTGACTTGGAGCGGTCTTCTTTAGAAATTTCAGGTTCTTACAAATTGAAGACAAGATATAAAATCAGTTTTTGTTAGTGGTGCATCCTGTTGGTTGGTTCTACTATTCAATAATGCTGTAGAAACTGGTGTAATAAATGTTATAATAGTGACAGTAGTTTAACTTGCAGGCACATTACTGTACGTGAAAGGATGCTTATCTCTTTCCCTTTGTTCGGCTTGTCTTAAGTTTCGAACAATTGAAGAAACTGTGAGCTTGTGTTCTGTATTTCAGGGCCAATGCCACAGGCTAAACAGGGCAAAGCTAGTAGAGCTGAGCTGTCTGGGAATAAGAATGTGGATTCTGGGGCTGCTGTTCTTGGCGAACATAGCATGGAAGTTTCATCTTCTTCAGTTGAAGCACAAGTGGGCTCTGAAGATATAGCTAAAAAAATTGATGGCATGGTCCTTCATGAGAACACAAAAATGAAGAAAAAAGACGCAGATAAAACCCTATCAAAGATTTTCCAACAGGATGAAGATACAGATATGTTATTGCCTTGCATAACTGATTCCATTGCGAAGCAACTAGAGCATGTAATTTTGGAAGAGAGAAGTGACAAGAAGAAAAAGAAATCAACTAGAGCATCATCAAGGGCATGCAAGAGTAAGCCTACAAGAAAACCTGCTGGAAGTAATGGCCATGAAGTAGGCTTTACTAGTACAATCATTATGGGGGATCCTGCTTCGGTAAAGATGGATCAAGGGGCTTTGGGTCAATATGACTTTGCAAGTTCCATCCTCATAGATAATCAGCCCTCATCATCTCAATACACAGTAAGAGATTCAATGCATACTTACACTGAACAACTACACAAAGATTTCAGTAAAGCAGTGGACCTTGAAAAAAATGAGACAAGTGACGAGAAAGTTAGTGCTGCACTAAAATCTTCACTGAAGGCTGTAGGGTCTAAGAACAGAAGTCAGTCTGTGACATGGGCAGATGATAATGGGAGCATCTTAGAAGCAAGCAAAGCATATGACATCGATTCAGATGCTAAAAATCTATCTATGGAGGACATTGACAGTTCACTAAGGCGTGAATCCGCAGAGGCTTGCGCAGCTGCCCTTATTGAAGCTGCAGGAGCTATTTCTTCAGGCACATCAGAAGTGGAAGATGCAGGTGAACATATTTTCTGTAACCTTGTGGTCCTTTAATATGCAATATACTCTTATGTGGTTGATATACTGACCTGAAGCTTCCTGAATACAGTTTCCAAGGCAGGGATCATCATATTGCCTGACATGCTTCACCAGAAACAGTTCAAGAATGTCCATGGCGAAGATACAGTGGAAAAGGTAGTATCTGAAACAGATGGTGATGTTGTGAAGTGGCCAACAAAGACTGTGCTTCTGGACACTGACATGTTTGAAGTCGATGATTCTTGGCACGACACACCACCAGAAGGTTTCAGTTTAACAGTAAGCATTTTTGAGGAAAAAGTGGTAGTTTTGTTTCTTTTAATTCATTTTGAAATTTTGCAATGACATGCATATCTTTTCAGCTGTCTGCTTTTGCAACAATGTGGACCACAATATTTGGATGGATATCCCGGTCATCTTTGGCCTATGTATACATGCTTGATGACAGTTCTGTGGAAGAAATGTTGATTTCTAAAGGGAGAGAGTATCCTGAGAAGCGAGTTTCGAAAGATAGCCAATCATCTGAAATTAAAAGAGCTTTAGCTTCTTGCATTTCTAATGCACTGCCGGTACTTGTATCAAACATGAGGATGCATACCCCAGTTTCAAAGTTGGAGACTACTCTGGTATGAGTTAATATACTCTTAGTGAGTTTATTGCCTGATTTACAGTTGGTCCAAATATATACTTTGCTGCCTAAAGTCCTAAACTTACTTGCATATCAATGTTTTTCGGCTTACTAGCTGGAACAGAACACCGATCACTACTATCGGCAAACAACAGTCCAGTACATTTGAGAAATTACTCTGGTAGAGTTGGGATCCCATATTTCTTTATACAATATAAAAAGGGTAGAATGTGCACATTTCTCTACTAGATAGATATAAGACTAGTGGCACATGTGTATGTCCTCATTGGCTAGTGTTTGTTTGTATCTGCCTTCTCCTATACCTGGAACCTCTGCTGCATACTTTTCCTGGCTAACATCAACTCAGCGAAAAAGAAAAGGTTTAGGTTAGCTTGATGCTAGCATCTGATAACTATTTTGGCCCTCACATGCAGAGCCATTTGTTTCTGCTTGCACCATGCTTTTGGATAATCTAATGAGAGTATCTGGTTGCCACTACAGGGATACTTGATTGACACAATGTCACTTGTTGACGCACTGCCTGCTCTGAGATCAAGGCAATGGCAGCTGCTGGTTCTTGTTCTGCTCGATGCACTCTCTGTGCACCGGCTTCCTGCTCTTGCTCCAGTGATCTCAGACTCAAAGCTTGTGCAGAAGGTGGCGTTTCTTTCCCGTACCTCTCTGGTATGCAAATACAAGGGTGCCTGTGTGTTTCTTGATTGTTTTTCCTTGTGCATACTGCAGATCCTAAACTCGGCTCAGGTTAGCAGAGAGGAGTACGACTCCATGGTCGACCTCATCCTCCCTTTTGGGAGATCTGGCGAGACGCACATGTCAAGTTAACCCGTGGAAGAAGTTCATCATCACAGTATCTGGCGGAACAGTAACAATCCTCTACCAGGATTCCGGATATATATCCCCACTCAGCCGAGTAGATAGAAGTCGTCCCATATCAGCATCAGCAGCATGACATACGACTCAAATACCGCCACAGTGACAGCCCCCATTTGGCTCGCTATCTAGAACATCACAAATCTTGCTGCTTTACCATTGCTTGTTGTATGTTTCTCTCCCGTTGCTGTCAGCTATGTTGCGGGTGCAGGGCAGGCTTGTTTCATGTCGCACTCGTGGATTTCACCTTTAGCCCGGAGGAGAGAGAGCAAAAGATAACTGCCACGAGAGCTGTGGATAGCAGCGTCACATCGTAGTGTATCATATCACCACGGACTCGCGTTCTCACTCATCGTAGTGCGTCTGTAGCTGTTGTTACCTGCAACCATTTGACTCTTGTGGGTTGGCGGCCTGGCCCATCCGTGTGTCACCTGACTGGCCGAGTGCTGGGGCAGGGTTCCTGCAGGCCAGTGACTGGTCCATGCCGACGGCGGACCGCCGTCGCTGTATGGCTCAATACATTTGTGCATTTGCCTTATCACCTTCCCTTCCGTGGTCAAATGCAGCGGCTCTTTCTTCTAGCTCTCGTTTTCTGGACTTTGCAGCTGTGTGTGTGTGTGTGCGCGCGCGCGCGCGTGGGTGGTGCAGGTGCATTGAACCCACCTGCTATCGCTGCAGCTGATTTTTAGGTGTCTCGACAGATTTTTATGAAATATAGGCTCCGGAAAGGTAGAATTCTTCTTGACGACTAGGGATTGGGGTTCGGAAAAAAGGGAGATGTGGGTTAGGTGAGCAAGGGGGCGTGTTTGGTGGTGCTGGTGCCAGCCATTCCACCACCATGGCTAACTTGCCGGCGCGGATCGAGATAGTGGTATGTTCAGCTAAATTTACCACTACCGCTAAGTCTTCTTTGGCTTCATTCACCACGGCACCTGCTACTCTATGACCCTAGTCTTTTTGGTGTTTTCTACGAGAAAAACCTTTCAATCTACTCGATCAATCATGATAGTACAAAAAATAATAGACATAATAAAAATTACATTCAGATTTCTTGACCATCTATGATCCCTAGCTATGGACGAAGCATCGATCCTAATTTTTCATAATGAGTTAATTTTATTTCTCTTCTTCATTTTGTGAAAAAAACGATTAATTTTATTTTTGTCGAACCGTACGTGGCAACAGACGCCGCGTTAAATAACACTCACACTTCTCTGAATCGAGTTGACCAGAGGCCACCGGATATTTCCGTTCAATAGCAGAGCAGGTCCATCCGTGGGCGCAACGGATGTACCATGTACTATGTACAACAGCAATGGCGTGAGCAATAACAGCAACAGAGAGAGAAAAGCACAGGAAACAATGGGAGAATGCCCCTACAAAAACTGCCGGGCTACCGCCTGAAAAAATGGTAGGGAACTAAAAGGGAAGTGGTAGTTACGATTCCTCGACCGATGTCAGCATATTTACAGCGTGGGAACGAACCGACCAGCAGCACTAGGTAGGAGCAGGAGCAGCAGAGCAGGCATCTCAAGCCAGAGAGCTAGCGGTCAGTCTCCAGCCAGCTCCTCAGGTTGCACAGGGCCTCCGCCGACAGGCCCTTGCAGCTCCTCGGCCTCGCCGCCGCCGCCGCGGCGGGGGGCGGCGGCGGGGACCCGAGCTCCGACCCGAAGCACACCACGATGACGGTGAGGTTGTCGGCCGTCTCGAGCCGCTTCGCCTCCATGACGAGCTCCCGCGCGCACCGCTCGGGGTCGTCGTGCTGCCGCAGGCCGCGCCGGACCACGCTCACCGCGTGCTGGCTCGTCATCACGTCCCAGATCCCGTCGCACCCCATGATGAGGAACTCGTCGTCCTCGCTCAGCGTCGCCTGCTGGAACTCGGGCTCCGCGATGAGGGGCGACGTGGAGCAGTCGGGCATCTTCATGTCCCAGTCGCCTAGGGCACGCGTCACCGAGAGCACCCCGTTGAGGTACCCGTCCTCGATGTACCCGCCGGAGGCGGCCACCCTCTCGCACTCCTCGGCGTAGTTTGCCCTGTGGTCTCGGGACATCTCCATCGCTATGCCTCTCCGGCAAAGGACCGCTCGGCAGTCGCCGGTGTTCGCAACCAACAGTTGCCTGCAAGTCAGGTCAGACACTCGACTGAGCATGCACGCTGAAGCAAGAAAATTGAGATCAGTTCTACAGACTTGAGACTGCTTCTAGTAAAGCACATCTTACCTCCCAAAGATTAATGCTGCGAGTGCTGTAGTTCCGGAGGAGCGGCTGATGTCTAGATTATCAGCCAGCGCAAGGTCGGCTTGCAGGAACGCGCTGCGAATACATTCCTCAACGGATTGAAGGAATATATCATCCACTTGCAATGCTTGTGGGAACTCTCTATCCTCAAACAAGAACCTCATGGCATGTCTTTTCATGTAGGCTGCAGCATCAGGACCCCCATGGCCATCAAACACCTACATACAAGCAGAGGAAACAAGACAATCCATTAAGGCGCAGTTGCTGAGGATATGACCGTGTGACATAATGCACCAAGCAAATACTCCCTCTATAAAAATACAAGATGTTTTTTGACACTGTCATAGTGTCAAAAAACATCTTATATTAAGTTATAGAGTAGTACTATACAGTAATCATTTACTAACTTACCCCATAGAAGGCACTAGGTAGTGGGCAAACCAACAGCGAGCCAAGATGGGCTGAAAGATCATCTATCCGGATGTGTTCATCTTCCATGTACCTCCTAGGTCCGATATCAGCAAAGCTTCCAGACCGAATATTGGGTACAAACTGTAGGGTTTCAGCGGACACGCTCGTCGCACCATCGGTGTTCGCCAATCCCTATACCAAACATGAAACATTACCACCTTGTTTCTTGCATTCGAAACAAATACAAACAGGATAAACTTTTCCCCATAGTCTGTTAAACAACATGATTAAAAGCCCGGACTACTTGTGTACCAAAATGGTCTCAATCGTTTCGTCAGACTACACATATTTGCAGCAAAAACCTGATATTTTCTGACTTGATTGAGAACAAACAGCACTTTGCAAAAGCACATATGCTACGATTCAACAACTCTACACACTACACAAATGGCTCCAATAATTAGATCACCCACCTTCTCTGTGGCCTACAACCACCTAAAAGGGAGCTACTTTTTCTATGAAAGGGTGTCAGACTTTTGCATCCACGAGCAGATAACCATTCCTTGCAAGAGGAAGAGAAACCAAACTTCCCTAACCAGTACTACTGTATAAGCCAACTTCAAGAATAGTATGGCCATAATAATTCATTCACAACAATACATGGAATTTTGAGCTGACTGCGTCCTCAAATCTGTTCTAAAGAACAGACAAGAAAGCATACAGCAGCTACAGCTGATCCGTTGATAAAATTCCCCGATCTCTTTAGGGATATACGGTCTCAGAACTAGCATAGGAGCAAAGAGAGGGAGGAGTCTTAGCGGCGGAACTCACCATGCGAGGCAGCTCGACGGCGACCTCGACCTCCACCTCCACCTCCGGCACGGCGACCGCCGACATCCCGACCCCCTTGGCGACACACGCGCGGTACTGCACCTCCAGAACCGGCGCCGGCTGCTGATGCATCACCTCCGCCTCGGCCACCATCTCCGCGCACCAGGACACGCTGTCTCTCCGGCCAGCGACCAGAAGGAAAAGAAAGGAGAAATCTTCCAACAAAAACAACCGCTCGATCCGTGCCGACGAGGGGAGCGAGAGAGTCTCCGGAGGATGTCGCCTTTCCAGCGATTTCGGTGGATTCTAGGACACGGTTTCTTGATCTGGGCAGGGGGGGAAGAAGAAATGGGTAGAGAGGACGAGGGTGGTTGGCTTTTATCCCGTGCTACTTGCTTGCCCCTGTGTGGAGGGGGACCGGCGGCGACCGGTGAGTGGGCGGGCGGGCGACCGGTGCGTGGCGGTGGGGGTGCACGCGGCTGATGCACGGACACGTGGATGCCGACCTCAGCACATGATTCATTTCCCCTCTCCCCCTCTCTGTCTCTTTCTGATTTGGGTGTTGGAGTTAACAAAAGTGAATAGAGCAACATGAAATTTGGTGATATGGCAGGCAGGTGTCTTCATATTTGACTCTGATGTAGAGAAGCAGCATGAAATTTGCAATGATTTTGTGTAGGAAAGATTCTGTTGTAGAGAAGCAACATGAAATTTGCAATGACTTTGTGTTAGGAAAGATTGTCGTGCACAGATTTGACATCGATTATGTGCGTGGAAGATGCCTTTTGTGGCTTAAGGTCACGTTTGGCACGATAGTCTTGTTTTATGTATTAGTTGTTTCTGTTATTTCATTTGGCTATTAATGATTTTTATTATTATGACTATTTTGTCGCATACAAATTTAGCAGCTGCAACTAAACCGAAGTGGGATTGTCGTTTCCTTGAGCTGCAACATAAATTCTACTCCCTCTGTAAACTAATATAAGAGTGTTTAGATCACTAAAGTAGTGATCTAAACGCTCCTATATTAGTTTACGGAGGGAGTACGTAAGGTTGAGTGTTTTATTTGACAAGCAACGTGGCATAAATACTACACGAAGTTGAATTCAGACATCAAAACGACAAATAATGTCTTCCTACATTTGCTTCCACGGCATCTTCCATTCTCTTCGGTCGTTTGTTCATTTATTCTTAGTAACTCCCTCATTTGACACATATCTCTCCTCACCACCCTCACCGTACGCGTGACAGATCCCTGCCTCACCGCCAAACCTTCTTCTTCAATTGTGGTGATGTTGTTGTCGCATCTGCCACTTCATTTGAATATAGTGTGAACATTCGAAATGTTTACCGAGTAAAATTGATTCCCATGATAGCCGGTGATGACGATGGCCTCCTACTGAACATCGTCGTCGACTTTGCCCTTGTGGAGGGGGTTACCCTTGCTTTAAGATGTTTGATAGAGCGCTAGGGACAACATGGGTTGCAGTGAATGCGTTGGTTTACACACTTCATGATTGTGTTCTCCCTTTAAACCAGTTAAAGCTCCTTTGATTCAAAGGATCTCGTAGGACTTCTGGAGGGTTTGGGTCCTTATGGATTTTCCCTACAATGATCATTTGATTCGCACGATTGGAATCCTTAGTAACTTTTGGGATATAGTGCATAGTTTTGTAATTCTACATGATACAGAAAGACATGATACCAATTCCTATGTTTTCCGTATTTCAATATTTTTGAAATCCTGCAAAACAAAGATATCCTTAATGCTGGTGCATAAGTTTTTTGAGCATATATTTACTTCTGAACCTAGCGATGCTGTAGATACTCTTCTTGATGTTATCCCTCACAAAGTTACTGATGTGATGAATGATGACTTATGTAAACCTTATACCAAGGAGGAGATGAAGGCTGCACCTTTTTAGATGAGACCCACTAAAGCTCCTACCCGGATGGTTTCCCGGCCCTCTTCTACTAGACACACTGGGATTTTTTGGGAGAGGAGATTTATCAAGCCGTCAGGAGATTTTTGGAAGGGAGACGTACTCCTGATGGTTTTTGTGATTAAGTTATTGTTCTCATTCCGAAAGTTGCAAGACCCAAACAGCTCAAGAATTTTTGGTCTATTAGCCTTTGCAGCGTTCTTTACAAGATTGCCTCTAAGTTTTTGACTAATTGTTTGAAGTTGCTTTTACCTGTCGTCATTCCTAAATTTCAAAGTGCTTTTGTCTCTCGCAGATCGATTACAAACAATGATCTCATTGTTCATGAGTCTGTACATACTATCAGAAAACAACAGGCTAAGCAACCGTTCTTTGCCATGAAGATTGATACGATGAAAGCATATGATCGTGTTGAGTGGAATTATCTTCATGGCTGCCTGTCAAAACTTGGTTCTGCCCCTGCATGGATCAGCTCAGTAATGTGGTGTGTTACCAATGTTCGTTATGCTATCGGGGTCAATGAAGAGTTCACTGAAACTGTTGTGCCGTCAAGAGGTATCCGCCAGGGTGATCTGATCAACCCCTACATGTTTCTTCTATGCATTGAAGGTCTGTCAAGTTTGTTACCACAGAAGGAGAATTCTGACGTACTACATGGTATTACGAACGATCACTCCGGTCCACCCATCTCACATCTCTTGTTTGCCGATGACTGCAGTTTCTGTTTAAGAAGCGATATGCGTAGTGCGGATGCCTTGGAGTCTACTCTCGACCTCTATTGTTCTGGTTCTGGTCAGTTGATTAATAAGAACAAGTCTTCTTTGGTTTTTGGACATAGTTGTCCAAAGAGTGTTAAACAGAGAGTGAAGTTTGGGTTGGGGATTTCTAATGAGTCCTTCAGTGATACTTGTCTAGGCATGCCTACAGAGGTGGGCAAGTCTCCAACTAGCATGCTGAAATTCCTACCTGATTGGGCTTGGCGATGTATTCATGGATGGTCTGGTCGGCCTGTCTCTCTGATGGAAAAGAAACATTGTTAAAATCTATCATACAGGCGATCCCGACCTACATCATGAGTTGTTTCCAGCTTTCCAAGGGGATTTATGAGAAATTTAGGCAGATTATTGTTGACGAATGGTGGGGCAAAGAAGATGGTAAAAAGAAACTCCATTATTATGTGCTCGTGTGCTTAAGGGGCGATATTTCCCTAACACTGACTTTTGGAATGCTCAGGCTCCAAGATCTGTTTCTGCTACATGGCATAGCATCCTTGTTGGTCGTTAGCTGCTCAAATATGGTGTGTAAGAGCTTAATAGTGTGCAATGGGGGATTAGTGATGGCAAACAAGTTCACATTCTTTCTGACCATTGGATCCCATCTATTCCTCAGGGTGCTCTTCAACCAATTTCTCCTATTCCTGCAGATGCTAAGGTACATTGCTTGATTGGTCAGTACAGTAGTACATGGAATGTTGAGACTATCACATGCTTTCTTCAGTGATGAGGTTGCCTCTGCAATGTTGATAATTCTCATCAACCATCATGGCGAGGATTGTGTTAGGTGGCCATAGATGAACTTTGGCGACTATTCAGTTCGGTCGGCGTACAATATGGCTCGCACTAGAAGTTTTATGTTGGTTCATAGTAAGAATGGGTAGGGCCAGTGTTTGGACCTAGCTACGAAGAGAAGCAATAGAAATCCATATAGGCGGTCAAGGTTCCTGATAAAATGAAGATTGTCTTGTGGTGTTTTGCTCGTGATTGTTTACCAACTGGAGCTCAATTTTTATGTCGCCAGTATCTACATCTGAGCAATGTTGCTTTTGTGCCCGACCAGTTGAACATGCTCTCCTATATATTTTTCCCGTACGCTAGAGATGTTTTGGATGCAATCAAAGATACTTATGGTAGTAGGCTCAGGTGCTATGATTTCTTCTCCCCTAAATTGTGGTTGTTTGATTTCCTAGCTCGTTCTTCGGATCATGATCACACAGTTTTGGCGGTGACCTTTTGGCACAACTGGGAGGCCTAAAAACTATGTCCGGAACAACTCTGAAGCCACACATCCTCGGCACACAACTGAGAAGATCAAGGTGTATGTGCTTTTGATTCTGCAACATCTATGTCACCCAGCCGCTGCTCACATGTGTGTTACCAATGTGTCCTCTATAGCTTGGTGATACGCCTCCAACGTATCTATAATTTTTGATTGTTCCATGCTATTATATTACCCGTTTTGGATGTTTATGGGCTTTACTTACACTTTTATATCATTTTTGGGACTAACCTACTAACCGGAGGCCCAGCCCGAATTGTTTTTTTTGCCTATTTCAGTGTTTCGAAGAAAAGGAATATCAAACGGAGTCCAAATGGAATGAAACCTTCGGGAGCGATCTTTTGGAACAAACGCAATCCAGGAGACTTGGAGTGGACGTCAAGAAGCAGCCGAGGCGGCCACGAGGCAGGAGGGCGTGCCCTAGGGGGCTGGGCGCACCCCCCACCGTTGTGGGCCCCTCGTGGCTCCCCTGACCTACTTCCTTCACCTATATATATCTACGTACCCCAAAACATCCAGGAGCACCACGAAAAACTATTTCCACTGCCGCAACCTTCTATATCCGCGAGATCCCATCTTGGAGCCTTCGTCGGCGCTCCGCCGGAGGGGGAATCGACCACGGAGGGCCTCTACACCATCTCCAAGGCCTCTTCGATGAGTTCTGAGTAGTTTACCACAGACCTTCGGGTCCATAGTTATTAGCTAGATGGCTTCTTCTCTCTCTTTGAATCTCAATACAAAGTTCTCCTCGATATTCTTGGAGATCTATTCGATGTAACTCTTTTTGCGGTGTGTTTGTCGAGATCCGATGAATTGTGGGTTTATGATCAAGTTTATCTATGAGAAATATTTGAATCCCCTCTGAATTCTTTTATGTATGATTGGTTATCTTTGCAAGTCTCTTCGAATTATAAGTTTGGTTTGGCCTACTAGATTGATCTTTCTTGCAATGGGAGAAGTGATTAGCTTTGGGTTCAATCTTGCGGTGTCCTTTCCCAGTGACAACAGGGGCAACAAGGCATGTATTGTATTATTGCCATCAAGGATAAAAAGATGGGGTTTATATCATATTGCTTGAGTTTATCCCTCTACATCATGTCATCTTACTTAATGCCTTACTCTGTTCTTCATGAACTTAATACTCTAGATGCAGGC